ATATATATATATAACCAGAACCTTTGCTTTATACCTGTATCACTGTGTATGTGTATGTTTGCATATGTATGTATACCTTTATGTATTTGCATGTGTACATGTGTTTATGTATGTGTGCATATGCATGCATTTGTGTATGTATTATGTGTTTCTCTGTCTATACATGTGTCTATGTATGTGTGGGGTATGTATGTGTATGGGTGTGAACCCTGTGAAAGTGCCGTGGCAGCTGGACTGTGGGCCATGGCGGCCTCTGTGTCCCCTGCACCCTCAGGCACTCACCACACGCCTCCCGGTCATGCAGGTCAGCCATGCCTCTCTCCAAGAGCTCCCTTCCAAGCTTGTCTCCTGGTATCTTGACTTTTCTTTTAGCTTTTTGCCCCATGATCCTTTTAGTTTTCACCAACTGCTTTTGTAGACACAGTGTGCGGTGTCTGTCGTGTCTAGAACTGGTCCATGTAAAGGCAGGGACAATGTCTTTGGGTCCAGCTCGGCCCCTCTCATATCCCACCAAGAGCCAGGGACGCAGCAGGTCTGGGCAGTGTGAATGCACCGCTCACTGAATGGAAAGTTCTAGAGCGGCTTTGTAACAGTTTACATAACTGGCCAGAGCTGCAGTGAATGCTCTTCTGAGCCTTGCCTGGGTTCTGCCCCCAGACCTGGTGCTGGGTCCCAGGGCACGGGAAATGACATTTGTCAACACATGCTGAAGCCCAGCCCCGCGGGCCAGGGAGACAGCAGTACCGCTTGGTGATCTTATTTTTAGATCTTTGACGTCTGAATTCCAGAGGAAGGGTAAGCAGTGCTCAGAAGAAAGTTGGCCTTTTTCCTCCACCACGCAAACAGGCCTGGGGACGTTTTTATTGGTCTAGCTATGAGTCTTTAGAACATTCCAAAGAAGGGCAAAGCTCTCTCCCCTAATGAAGGGGTGGAGAGGGCTGGGGAGGCAGAGTGGGCAACCCTGCAGAGGGGTTGCTGGCTCACTAGATGGAGGTCCCTCTGCGTGCCTTTCTGATGAGGGTAGTAGTGATGTTACCCCTAAAATAATTTGGGCAGCCCTGAGGGACTCTACTATTTCTCTCTGAGAGTCAAGGCTCCTATGTGGGTCTTGCTTAGTGACGCCTTTCTCCACAGCATGTTTCTTAGCGTTTAATTCATATTGTTTACATTTTTTTCAATTGAGATGAAGTTTGCATGACACAAGACATATTTTTGGTCTTTATTTTTTATTTTTTGAGACAAGGTCTCATGTAGCCCAGGCTGTCCTCAGATAGCTGAGGACAACTTTGATCATCCAATCCTCCTGCCTCTACCTCCTGAAAGCTGAAATCGTAGGCGTGACCACCACACGCAGTTTATCCGGTGCTAGGGATGGAACCTTGGTCTTTGTGCGTGCCCGGTGTACACTCCACCAACTCAGCCACATCCCCAGTCCAAGACAAACCACTTCAAAATGAGCAGTCCATGGTGTGTATGCATGTGTGTGTGTGGGTGCATGCCCTTGAGTGTGTGTATATATGTGTATGTGACTATGTGTAAATGTGTGTATGTATCTGTGTGTATGTGTCTATGTGTGTCTACAGTGTTGTGTGGCCACCAGTTCTCTCAGTTCCCAGTGTACTTGTGTCCCCCTGAAAGGAAACTCAGTACCTTGGCCCATGATGTCGGAGTGCTCACTGATCTTCACCCCACAAGCAATGGGCAGACGAAAGGGACGGAGGGAGGGAGGGGAGTGTAAATGAACAGAATTACAGGGCCCAGCGTGAGCTGGAGGCCCCTGAGCCCCTGGAATCAGACTTGGTAGAAGCAGCGGCCACACTGGGGACACATTGTAGGTATGAGCTGGGTCTCATAGTCAGGGTCTCAGCAGCTACTGCTTTAATGCCTATTTTGCTGAGGAGAAAACCAAGGCTCAAGTAAGTTAGTGATGCTTCCTGTAGGGTCCCACAGCTCCAGGCTCAACTCAGACTGGTCTGATTCCTAAACTCGAGCCTCTGGTCCTGACTGTTGGCCTCGCTCTGTCCGTACCTTCAGTCCTCTCCTTCTTGCGGCTGCCGAAGGTGAGACCTAGCTCCCGGGTTCGAGCCCAGAGGACGAGGAAAACTTAGCTGGGCAGAGTCGGGGAAGAGCCACAGGTGTAGGGAACAGAATGTAGGAGGAACAGGGTTGATGCAAGTTCTGTTTGTGGGAGTGCCACGCCTGGACTGGCCCCTCCTCATCTGTAGGGTGTGGGGTCCTAGTAAGACTGATACTCAGAGACAGACGGACAGACAGACACAGGGATGGACAGACAGATACAAAGACACACATACACAGAGACAGACACACAAAGACAGACACACACACAGGCAGACACATACACACAGGCACTCACAAAGACATACAGAGACACACACAGAAACAGGCACAGATACACAAACACACGTGTGTACATGCACACAGGTACATACATCCAAGGTAACAAAAAGACAGTTGGGGAGGGTGAGCGTGGGGACAGGGTGGGAGGGGCAGAGGGGCTCTGAAGCAGGGCTTGTTCCCTGTGACCAGATGCCCTCTGCAGGGCATCGGCGGCCGCGCGTGTGGAGTCTGCAGCCTCCCTGATGGTAGCATAGGAAGGGTGTGGGTGACGATGGAACCAGAAAGATCATACCCCTTGCCAGCTAAGGAACGCCGTCTTCAGGAGGATATGTGAAGGTGGCCCAGTGTAGCAAGCTGGGGGGCGGGGTGACCAGATAATGCTTTTAGATGAAAGTTACAGTGGAGGCCAGGAAGGGGGGACCTGGGTGCTTCCCCCAAACAACTTCTCTGTGTGTGTGTTATATGCAACGTGTGTCTGTGGACATGTGTGTATAGGGGGTGTCAGATGACCTGCCCTCCATACATCCTAATTCTAACTTCATTGGGATGATGTGACCAGCATGGGTCAGGGTCAGAGGGACCCCAGCTTTGCCTGGCTTTACAAATGGAGCCCTGTGTGTGCTCTAGCGAGCTTCCCACCTCTGTGTTAGTGTAGGAGATTTATCCGGGTTGTTTGTGGATATATTCATTCCGCATATGATCTGTAAGTTCTCAAAGCTGTAGGTACATCATGGATGCGTCCTGGTTTGTTTCTCCATTGCTGTGACAAAACACTCTGACCAATACCAACTTGGGGCACAAAGGGTTTATTTATCTTACATCTCCCAGGTTCATCAGGGAGCCCAAGGTAGGAACTCAGGGCAGGAACCTGGAAGCAGGAGCTGGAGCACAGGCCATGGAGGAACGCTGCTTACTGACTTGCTCCCCTGGCCCCTGCTCAGCCTGCTTTCTTATGCAACACAGGCCCACCTGCCCAGGGGTGGCA